GTAAGTTCCCCTTCTGGTCCACCTTCGGGGGGTGGCAGGCTGGGGATGGAGAAACAATGGGAGCCAAGCCAGATCCAGCCCTGGCTGGTGTTTCTCTCTCTCTCTCTCTCTCTCTCTCTCTCTCTGTGCCTTTCTTTCTTTTGGTGTGAAGCTCGGGCAAACAGTGTGAAGACTTCTTAAAGGGCCAGCTTGGGTTTTGGGGGGAAGAGAGAGAGGCAGAAGAGGGGAAACCGGTGGGCTTCATGGAAAAACCCCTTTATCTTTAGCTTTTTCCCAGCTGCAAGGAGACAGGACCTTAGCAGAGACAGATTTGTGCTTCCAGTTCTGTATCTCAGCAAAGAAAGGGGATCCCCACCTCTCCCTGGGCAAAAAAGGGGGTGCTTGAACTTTGAAGAGCTATAATATGATACAAGAGAGGGGCCATAAAAACAAAGGAAGACTCCAGCAGGGATTTGTTTGGTGTGTGTTTTGTTCTTCCTCCTCCTCTTCCTCCTCCTCCTGGCCGGCTTTTTTACTTGCTTTTTTACTTTCCTACTAGCTGTCCCCTGCCACACTTTGCTGGGGCCAGTCTGTGTAGATGTATTTTGTGTGTGTATGTGTACATATGTGGTTTTGTGCATGCGCTGTAATGTATTTTTTATTTTATTTTTTGGCTTTTTAAGTCTCTTAGAATCATAGAGTTGGAAGAGACCTCATGGGCCATCCAGTCCAACCCCTGCCCAGTCTGTATATATGTCTGATTGTGTGTATGTGTGGTTTTGTGCATGCGTTGTAATGTATTTTTTATCTTTTTGGCTTTTTAAGTCTCTTAGAATCATAGAGTTGGAAGAGACCTCATGGGCCATCCAGTCCAACCCCCTGCCCAGTTTGTATATATGTCTGATTGTGTGTATGTGTGGTTTTGTGCATGCGTTGTAATGTATTTTTTATCTTTTTGGCTTTTTAAGTCTTAGAATCATAGAGTTGGAAGAGACCTCATGGGCCATCCAGTCCAACCCCCTGCCAAGAAGCAGGAATATTCAAATCACCCCTGACAGATGGCCATCCAGCCTCTTCCACTGTGTTTTTATGAGTGATGGTCACTCGTTGGCCTGATAGGTGTATTGTGTCCAAATTTGGTGACAATTCGTCCAGTGGTTTTTGAGTTGTGTTAATCCCACAAACTAATATTACATTTTTATTTATATAGATAGACTAGCCATCCCTTGCCATCCATTGCTGTGGCCCAGTCTGTATATATGTGTGATTGTGTGTATATGTGGTTTTGTGCATGCGTTGTAATGTATTTATTATTATTTTTTGGCTTTTTAAGTCTTACAATCATAGAGTTGGAAGAGACCTCATGGGCCATCCAGTCCAACCCCCTGCCAAGAAGCAGGAATATTGCATTCAAAGCACCCCTGACAGATGGCCATCCAGCCTCATCCACTGTGTTTTTATGAGTGATGGTCACTCGTTGGCCTGATAGGTGCATTGTGTCCAAATTTGGTGTCAATTCGTCCAGGGGTTTTTGAGTTATGTTAATCCCACAAACTAATATTACATTTTTATTTATATCGATAGACTAGCCATCCCTTGCCACCCGTTGCTGTGGCCCAGTGTGTGTATATTGTGTGTGTATGTAGTTTTGTGCATGCGTTGTAATGCATTTTTTATTTTTTTGGCTTTTTAAGTCTCTTAGAATCATAGAGTTGGAAGAGACCTCATGGGCCATCCAGTCCAACCCCCTGCCAAGAAGCAGGAATATTCAAAGCACCCCTGACAGATGGCCATCCAGCCTCTTCCACTGTGTTTTTATGAGTGATGGTCACTCGTTGGCCTGATAGGTGTATTGTGTCCAAATTTGGTGACAATTCACACAGTGGTTTTTGAGTTATGTTCATCCCACAAACTAACATTAATTTGTTATTTATATAGATAGACTAGCCGTCCCTTGCCACCCGTTGCTGTGGCCCAGTCTGTATATATGTGTGATTGTGTGTATATGTGGTTTTGTGCATGCGTTGTAATGTATTTTTTGGCTTTTAAAGTATCTTCTACTGTGTTTTTAAGAGTGATGGTCACTCGTCCTGATAGGTGTATTGTGTCCATATTTGGTGTCAATTCATCCAGTAGTTCCCACAAACTAACATTACATGTTTATTTATATAGAATAGCCATCCCCTGCTGTGACCCACATGGGGGTTCTGTGTGGGAGGTTTGGCCCAGTTCTATCGTTAGTGGGGTTCAGAATGCTCTGTGATTGTAGGTGAACTATAAATCCCAGCAACTACAACTCCCAAATGTCAAGATTCTATTTCCCTCAAACTCCAGCAGTGTTCACATTTGGGCATATTGAGTCTTCGTGTAGAGTTTGGTCCAGACTCATCATTGTTTGAGTCTATGTAGGTAGGTGAACTACAACTCCAAAACCAAAGGACACTGCCCACCAAACCTTTCCAGTATTTTCTCTTGGTCATAGGAGAACTGTATACCAAGTTTGGTTCAATTCCATCGTTGGTAGGGTTCAGAATGCTCTTTGATTGTAGGTGAACTATGAATCCCAGCAACTACAACTCCCAAATGACAAAATCAATGTTTTGAGTGAAGGACATATATTAGGTTGTTAGGTGTCTTGTGTCCAAATTTGGTGTCAATTAAGTGGTTTTTTGAGTTCTGTTAATCCCACAAACGAACATTACATTTTTATTTATATAGATAGATAGACTAGCCGTCCCCTGCCACGCATTGCTGTGGCCCAGTCTGTATATATGTGTGTTTTTGTGTGTATATGTGGTTTTGCACATGCTTTGTAATGTATCTTTGTTTTTTGGCTTTTTAAGTCTTTTCCGCTGCGTTTTTATGAGTGATGGTCACTAGTTGGCCTGATAGGTATATTGTGTCCAAATTTGGTGACAATCCATCCAGTGGTTTTTGAGTTATATTAACCCCACAAACGAACATTACATTTTTATTTATATAGCTGAAGATCCTCCCTATCATTGGAAGGAAATGGGAAGAAAAAGGTCAGCAAGGAGGGAAAGAAAGACTAAGAGAGAGAAAGAGAAAGCTGAGTTTGTTTTCCAGGCGTTGGGAAGCCTGAGTATACATTCCTTGTGTCTGGCTTCTGAAAGCCAGTTGGGACTTGGGGCCTCTCTCTCTCTTTCTCTCTTTTTTGCAGAGCTTTCCCCCCTTTTCTTCCCCCTGCTCCCCCCCTACATCTGTCCAGGAAGCCAGTAAAAAGGGGGGGATGAGGAGGAGAGAGGGAGAAAAAGGAGCCTTTTCCCTCCTGCTCTCTTGCTATTGTCAGAAGGGGGAGGGCGGCTGGCTTGGGCAGTAAAAAAAAAGAATTGATTCAGAAGGAGCAACACAAAAAATGGCAGTTAAAAGGTGCTTGCGGAATGTAAACATTCAAAAGGAAAGGGCTGAGAGTGAGTTTTAGTTTTCTTTAGTTTTTTTTTTTAGATCCCACAGGCTGATCAAGGCAGAGCTAGAAGTTCCTTGGCCTGCTTTCTCTCTTTTTGCAAACTTTTGGGTTCAGTTGTGTGCACACGTGGGAAGGCTTTTTAAGGTTTTATGTATTGTCGAACACTTTCATGGCTGGAATCACTGGGTTGTTGTAGGTTTTTCAGGCTACATGGCCATGTTCCAGAAGCATTCTCTCCTTATGTTTCACCTGCATCTATGGCAAGCATCCTCAGAGGTTGTGAGGTCTTTTAACGGTTTTGCTGCCAACTTTCCTCTTTGTTTTTGTATTTTTTTTGAGAGAGAGATAGAGAGAACTTGGGTAGTGAGTTGCTATAAGTTTTCCGGGCTACATGGCCATGTTCCAGAAGCATTCTCTCCTGATGTTTCACCTGCATCTGTGGCAGGCATCGTCAGAGGTTGTGAGGTCTGTTGGAAACTAGGAAAATTGGGTTGAAGGTGTTTATGGCCGAAATCACTGGGTTGCTGTGTGTTTTCCAGGCTGTATGGCCATATTCCAGAAGCATTCTCTCCTGACATGTTGCCCACATCTGTAGCAGACCTCCTCAGAAGTTGAGGGATCTGTTGGAAACAGGCATGTAGCGGGGGGGGGGGGGGGGGGGGGGGGGGGGGGGGGGGGCTTGAGGGGCTTCAGCCCCCCCCCCAAAAATTCTCAGGGTGGTCTGCAAGAAGGCCCTACTAGTACATTATTTAAACTGTTATGTCTATTCATATCATGATCTGATCACCATGCTCAATATATCCCATGTGCATGGGGGTATGCATATGCAGTTTCTCAAATTGCTCCTGACACAATAAAAAAAGGGGAGCGGTATTGAGATAACAATACAAAATGTTTGTTAGGGTAGATCCTCACCCCCCCCCATCAAATTCAGCCCCCCCAATCAAAATCCTGACTACGGGCCTGGTTGGAAACTAGGCAAGTGGAGTTTATATATCTGTGGAATGTTCAGGGTGGGAGAAAGAACTCTTGTCTGTTGGAGTTGTGTGAATGTTGCAATTGGCCACCTTGATTAGAATTTAATGGCCTTTGGCAGTGTCTGTTGCTTCTGAAAGCCAACCCCAAAAAGATGAGCCTGGGACCACAGCCCAGCCAGAGGATGTTGTGCTTCTCCAGCCTGTGCTTCTCCAGCCTGTGTGCAGCCCTGCCCTGGCAGAAGGAGGCTGAGACAGTAGCCCAAAAGTCCCAACCCACAACCCCCCCCCCCATCACAACCGTCTGCTTCCCTGCATTGTGTGTACCTTTTGGTGCTTTGCAAAAGAGCTTAGCTAGATTCTCTAGGGCCAAAGGAGCAGCTTGTGTGTGTGTGTGTGTCTGTCTGCGGTGCCTACAGTCAGGCTGGGCATTCTGGCTGATTTCTTTTCTGCCCCCAACACACACAGACAGACACACTGCCCAATGCATTGACATGAGAGTCATGGATTGAACTTGGCAGCTTGAACAAATGCCCTCTCCAAGGTTTCCAGGAGACAGTAAAGAGAGCAGGAGTAGGAGTGCGGAGAGGGGGAGATGAATGCCTGGGTGTTGTCTTCGG